TTACAGACATGGCGTCTTTCTCACAGGTGTGGAGTCTTTCTTACAGACATGGTTTCTTACAGACATGGTGTCTTTCTCACAGGTGTGGAGTCTTTCTTACAGATGTGGCGTCTTTCTCACAGACATGGCATCTTTCTTACAGACATGGTTTCTTACAGAAATGGTGTCTTTCTTACAGACATGGCATTTTTCTTACAGGCATGGGGTCTTTCTTACAGATGTGCTATCTTACAGATATCCATATCCTTTGACTAAAAATCTATCCCCCAATCCTTATTTCAGAGTGAGGTATTTACACTAAATCTACAATGCAGCTATTATTTCTAATAGTGAAAATGTAGAAAATCCCTAAAGTTATACCTATGGTTTTAAAAAGGGTATAGCTATCTAATAACATCTAAAATGCTAACAAGAGGTTTAAAATACCATAAAATGTTTATGGCACAAATTTGAAAACAAAGGGTAAACAACTGGAGAAACGATATTATCACCCAGCCCTATTTTTAAATAAAGAAGTGACCAGAGGTGCCTCACTAGAGGTGATTTTTTTTCATCTTTATGTGTTATCTGACTATTCTATAGTGAGCACTTATAACATTTTTCTAGTCACTTATAATCCTCCTGTCATTTTCTAAAGATAACTACTGTTCACAATAAGGTGTGTGTGTGTGATATATATACGGCTATAGACAGATATCCTTCCTGAGTCTTTCTATACACTGATGAAGATAATTGACACATTTTCTATAATAAGATCATTCTGTGCATGCTGGTCTATAACAAGCATACATGACTTTCATAATCAGACAAAACAATAAAGTTCCCTCATAAGTATATACTCAGTGGTTTGTTATTCTTGTAGATGAATTACACCAACAATTCTCTAAGCCCCCTGCTTCTTTCTGCATTAAAATGTCTCTGTTTTCTCTACTTCTGTCTATGCATTTTGGAAGAATTCCAGAACTACATCAGAGAACTGGCCCCAAGGAGCTGAGCACATAGAGGAGGATTCAGACATGCTCCGCTCCAGTCAGCAGGATGATGGACACATATTCTAACCCTACAAGGAATAAGAATTCATTTCACTACTAGCCCCAAATTTCTCCTTAGTTTTTTCACTGCTACCCTGCACATACATGAGGAATAATGAAGAACTGCTACCACTGAGTGATCTGGTGTCCCCAACCATTTTGGTACCAGGGACCAGGTCATGGAAGACAATTTTTCTACAGACCACAGGGTGGGGATGGGACAGGAGGCAGGGCTCAGGCAGTGATGCTGTGTGGCCTGGTCCCTAATTGGTCATGGACCAGTAAACGGGCCAGGACAGTCTACAGGCCAGGGGTTGGGAACAGAGCTATACAACTCCAACACTAAGAAAGACCTTTCTGAGCAGTTCACCTTCTTTGCAGATGAGAAGACCTGAAGGCTAGAAATATCAAGTGACTTGCTCAAGGACACACACTGGTTACGATGCAGAGCCAAAGCACAGCAGGGGCCTCCAGACCCCAGGCTCAGGGAACAATACTGCTGCCATTCCAAGTTCCACTCCCCAGCACTCAGGGGCCAGGCTTCCTCCAACAGCCAATCCCAGAGAAGCTGTGGCTGAGTCTGTAAGTCTTTGGCCTCTTGTTAGTTTTTTCCCCATTTTTTGTGTATTACAAGGTCACTCTTACTGCCCCATTCTCAGTATCCCAGGCTCACACTGCATCAGGCACTGATAGTAGATTGTCAGAAGGTACTTTGGAACATTTCCAATTCCCTTTTTGTCTTGGCAAGTGACCAAAGTTAAAAGCAAAGTGAATCTCTCTGGAGAAAGAGTTTTAAAAAGTAAATGACTGTGTTAGCTTCCACACATCTCTATCCTGAAATCAGAATTATCTCTTCCTCTTAATAGCCCACCTGAAGTTTCACTTAATTCTTTTGGAAACACCCCCCTACAGTCCTTCTGGTGTAATGGAATATATCTGATAATTTATTCTTAAGATTATGCCTTCAAAGGGAAGGGACAAAATTATCCAAGCTAGTAATTAATAATGGGCATTAAAACAGTTCATCTTTATTAAAATTAGGTAGTCCTATTTTCCCACTGTGATGAAAAGTAGCTCTCCGTGCTCTAGTGATGACAGTTCTCAGGGTGCTGTGAGGAATAAACATTGCAACATCGTGAGAGTCTGACGTGAGCCAGGCATAACCTTCAACCCTTTCACTCAAATAAAAAGGGAGAGAGCTTGATCAGATGGTGTTGCTTCAATTGCCCTGGGGGTCCTCCTCATATAGCATTCTCCCAGGCCAATTTCTTCAAGTGTAGGGTGAATTCCCACATAAAGCTAGCTAAATGAAATGTGCTCTTTTAATTCCAGAAACTGAGCAAAAAGATTCGTAAGTATTGTGTGTTTTGTAGAAGCCTTGCTGCCTGGGAAAGCATGGCAGAGCTGGCAGGCAAGATGTAACAACCTCCTTCGTGGAGCTCTGACCATGCGGTCAGTCAGCCTGCCAGATGTGGCCCGTCTGTGCAGGAGACATGGCTCAAAGGTTGATGGAGTGAAAAATTCCTTGTATGGCTTCCAAACCTCAAGAAAACAGTGATTGAGCCTGTTTCTTGGAAACTTAATTGAGTACATGGAAGAAAAAAAGTTTTACTTCCCTTTTGTCTTGACCTTAACTTTGACAATAGAAGTTAGATAATGTAGGGTTGTTTTAGGTCTTTAGAGAGAAATAGCTGGAGGCTAGTCTTAAGATGGTTATCTTAGTTTCTGGGACATTCTGTCTTTTCTATAGTTGAAGATAAGAATAGAGAATGTTAAGATTATTGATCAATGTGGTGTACATGATTAGTTTACTATAAAAGGTGATCGCGAATAAAGACATCTTGCTACTGCCACCTGGAGTAGTAGTCATTTCTTTCTTTCATACAATTCCAGGAGTGAGCTTGCACCCATGGCCAAGCTGTCCTTCCCTACCCACCAGAAATCACTACCCAACAAATGGTGTAGTCAACATTTAAGTGTTTCTCCTGCACTCTCTCCAAGACTCTTTATAGTTTTGTGTCTTAAGTTTAAATCTTTTATCCAGTGAGAGTCAATTTTTGTTAATGGCGAACAGTGTGGGTCCAGTTTCAGTCTTCCACAAGTCGCCAGCCAGTTCACCCAGCACCATTTGTAAAAGCTTCTGCACAGCCAAGAACACAGTAAGTAAAGCAAACAGACAGCCCTCAGAATGGTAGAAGATATTTGCAGGTTATGCTTCTGACAAACGATTGATAACTAGAATCCACAGAGAACTCAAACTTATAAATAAGAAAAGAACAAGTAATCCCATTTCATTGTGAGCAAGAGACTTGAACAGAAGCTTCTCTAAAGCTGATAGGTGCATGGCCTACAGACACATGAAAAAATGCTCATCATCTTTAATCATCAGAAAAATGCAAATTAAAACCACTTTGAGATTTCATCTAACTTCCATAAGAGTGGCTCACATTACAAAATCCCCAAACTACAGATGTTGGCATGGGTGTGGAGAAAAGGGAACACTTTTGCACTGCTGGTGGGAAGCTAATATATTCCTTATGGAAAGAAGTATGGAGAATACTCAGGGATCTAAAAGTAGACCTGCCGTTTGATCCTGCAATTCCTCTCCTCAGTGTATATCCAAAAGACCAAAAATCACTTTATAACAAAGATACTTGCACAGATTGTTCACTGCAGTTCAATTCATAATAGCCAAGTCATGGAAGAAGCCCAAGTGTCCATCGACCCACGAATGGATTAATAAATTGTGTTATATGTATACCATGGAATATTATGCAGTCTTAAAAAAAGATGGACTTTACCTCTTTTACATTTATGTGGATGGAGCTGGAACATATCCTACTTAGTAAAGTAGCTCAAGAATGGAAGATAAGGCTCGGTGCCTGTGGCTCAAGCGGCTAAGGCACCAGCCACATACACCTAAGGTGGTGGGTTCGTATCCCCAGCCCGGGCCCACCAAACAACAATGATGGC